TCCAAAAAAGAAGAAATTTTTTGTTGCCTGGAACATGAACTTCCTTCTGTGTTCATAGGGTGTATTGAAGAATAAATGGAATGATGTACATTAAAACACAATTTTTGCTTCCAGCTTTACCCAGTAGATGCTCAATTAGCAGAAATATCACTATCGTCACTGTTATTTCACAGTCTATGCAAGGTTTGTATGTCTTCCCAGTCCACAGATGTATCATGATCATGTTGACCGTTTTGTGGAAATCCCAAATAAAATTATGGTGAATGGGAATAAAAATAATATCTTGCTTTTTCCCCATATAGTAATTTTTAACTAGCAATATCTCCATTTGTTTTGCAAACCATTCTGTGCTGTTTGTTTTAGGGGAGTCATGACAAAAGATATAAAAAATAAGAATAGTCTGCTTTTGGTTTTTGATACAAAAGTACAGAGAAATCATATTGTAAGCAATATTGTTGGGATAACTCAGATATATAAGAGCAAGGACTTCTTTCAGAGCTAGTGAATCATAGAAGAAGTGATCAGATATTTTCTAGGCCTCCTGCGAAGGTACTATATATCAAAGGAGAAATGAACGCGTGAGGTGGTTAAGTGTAGCAGACACAGGACCCTAGCTGGGATTCATGAGCTAAGGGTGATATAGGTGCAGCCAAATAACTCCTATGGCTGTAGAAATGGTCATGTTGCCTATTTAGAAAGATGGGACTTGCGAAAACTTCACATGCTCCCTTCTAAGCCAGAATGTAGGAGAAATAAGTTCCTTCCTAGAATGTTGTCTTTGGCTGTCCACTTATGTCTTTGAAGTAACAGAGAAAAATATGTCTGAGCTGTTAATGACTAGACATGAATTCCATTCCTGGTCACCGAAACCAAGTGGCTAAAAAGCAGAGACTGCTACTTTTGACTCTCAAATAAGATATATGGAATTTATAGAGGCAAATAGGATTCTTGGACCTATCAACACCAACAAACACATAAAGAAACTGAAAAACTACTACAAATTGCAAACCCCTGTATATAGGCATCCTGTCTTCAACTAGGACGTGTCGGGTGGTGGAGGAGGCTGCAGCCTGGGTCAGAGTGCAGCTTGGGCCTTGGGCCTTGAATCTAGATAAAAGACTGGTGATGAAATGCTCCCCTTGCCTTTCTCTCTAGCTTCTCCCCACTCACTCTAGATAACAGTCTCTGTGCCCTGGGCAGAGGTGAGCACACTGGTCACATCATGGCCAAACAAAGATAGACATGGATTTCATTTGAACAGAGAGATACACTCATTTGTGCACTGCTGTCTGCTTTTCCCCTGGACATGAAACCTGCAATTGGGACCTATTTTCTAGTAGGGTTGAAAAGCACTCGATTATTAGATTTTGATAAATATTATAAAGAAAATAAAGGGCTGTGTTCATGAAACATTGGCATGATATACTCTATTGCAGGAGGAGGGTTTCAATCAAGTTTTGTCTGAAGAAAGGATTTTGGTTGGCCCAGAAACATATAGGGCCAATGAAAAGATGAGAATAAAGGATTCTAAGCAAAGGAAGTACCATATGTTCAAAACACCTTATATGAGTAAGAGAAAGAATTTTGAACATCAACCCTAACTTATGGTCATTAGCTGTAGTGGAAAGTAGTGAAAGGAAACTGGAATGTAAGTTAAGAACATACATTTTATGTTGTATTCATCTCTCCTTGTCTGGAGGCCTCTCCTTACACTATATATTTGGACCAATGAAAGACAATAATCTTTTTGAAGACAGAAATGACTTCATGAATGCATACCTTGTGAATGCCGAAGGAGGTATTCCAGTGACATGTCCAATTACATACTGACAAATGATGAGAGGTGTAGTAAAATAACGAAATTACATTTAGTCAGAGATTAAAGGAGAATCTTTTCAAAACCCTGATCAACCCTTATGTTTGAGGGAGGCAAAAACAGTCGCAACAGGAAGGTGGTACCTCGTTTAAGAAACTGGTGTACGGTAATGCTGGATATAGCATGTAACCATAAGCACAGTGTACAGTTGGTGTGCTGCCTCTGACGCTTGATGATGATGTTTCTGCTCCTGGGACATCTTCTCCCTTCTGGAGTAATAAATTTGGGTGATTTAGTCTTTCATTTTATGATGGAAAGCAATAGTTTTGGGGGGCTGTTTTTATAAATGAATTGAATGTGATGCATTCTTTTTTTTTTCAAAATTCTTTTTTGTAGGATCTTTCCTCTGCTAATTTTCTGTGGATACTGGCATAAATTTAGTTTCCTTAACCATACAGATGACACATAGCACATACAGATAACGGTCAAACTGAGATGATTAAAATTACGTTGATCTTAGATTCTTGGCTCTACCTGTGTTGTAAAATGATGTGCAACAACATTGTCAAGCACATCCCTTGGGCTTATTTGTTGGTAGATGAGTTTCTCTTGTGATAAGCATAGAAATTCGTAGAATAAAGCCAGGCAAACTGAGGAACATTTACAAGCAATCCTTTCTCTTCAAATAAACAGCTTCCTGTCATGTGCTCTTCTGCCTCTAGTATACTCAGCTCTCCGTCTATTTGAGCAAAGTGATCTTTGTCTTGTAAGGGTTCTTTCATAGTAACAATATGAGGGACAATATGATGTACTGCTGGTTATATGAGGCAAACAGAAGAATTTTTTAGGATTCGTGGTCATAATCTCAGGGGTTCCAGATTCCACCTAGGGAATTTCTAGTAACTGGTTCTTTATGCCTCGTTTAACTGATATCAGGGAATGTCTATAATTGTTATATTTTCACTACTATTAATTGTAATAGTGAAAGCTCAGTTGTAAAATTTACATTTGATGTCAATTTGCCACAGTTTTCTCACTTCCAGCTTTCAGCAATCTAATTCCTTTGTACCACTTGTAATAAAAGTCGTGGGTGGGAGGGTCTGGAGGAGCCTGCTGCTGCACCCCAGCTCCCCGAGGAGAGCAGTCTCTGACCACTCTCCCGCATCTCCTACATTGGAGGCTGCAGACTTCAGGCCACTAAACAACGCCAAACCTGATAATGTCCATTCTGAAATACCTACACACACACACACACACATCTAAACATACTTCAGACAATTTAAAATCTGCTCTGTTATACTAGAAGGAACATTTTCCAAAACTGTGAACGTCAGTATTGTCATATGTGAAATGGGACAAACAGTATCATACTTACGGGGTTATAATGAAGAATAAGTTATATAATACACACAAATAATAAGTTTAGTAAATGCTCAACAGGCATAAATATAATTATTGCCCTTGTTAGTTCACGGTCTATTCAATGAAGGTTTGGATTTCTACCTGATCGACAGATTTTTAATGGCTTATGTTGTTTCTGTTGATGGATTCTCTGGATCAAGGTGAGGTGGAAATCACCTTCTTAAAAATATTTCTCTAAGTATGCCACACATAGTAATGCGATCTTATTGACAGGAGTGCCTTTTTTTGAGTTAGAAAATAAGCATTCATTTTGTTTGACATTTAATGCTACATAATTTGTAGCTGAGAAAACACTCACAATTTAAGAAAGAAAAGATTCCTAGCCTGCTTTTCTCTGAACCCATCCTCTACCCTCTTTAGCTTCATGGGTAAGGATAGTTCTGAATTCTCATGAACTCTTTCCTTTAAAATAGCTTTAGCACACAAGTCATTCATTCCTAAGCAATATGGCATTTAGTTTTTATTAGATTTAGAGTTTATGAAAATGTTATTATATTATTTAAAATTTACTGTGATTTGCTTCTTCCTACTACTATATGCCTAAGATGTATCTGTGATGCACCATTTGTATTTTATTTAATTTTAAGCCAGTATAATATTCCAAAAGTCATTTGCTCATTCACCTGTCATTGGGCATAGGTTCTTCCAAAATTTTGCTAGTGCATGTGATGCTATTGGGAATATTTTTATACTTTCTCCTTATATTCATAGGCACAATTGAAATTATAAGATTTGTATGATATGCATATATTAAGTTTTGAGATAATGCCAAATTGGTTTCTAAAGATTTGTACTTATTTGTATTTCCCTCAGCAGGGTTTCCCAGTGCATCACGTGATCATCAACATGGATGATGTGAGTAGTTTCACTTTTGTAATTTTGTGTTTACACATAGAACGATATTATGGCCCTATTAACACTCCCTGTTTACTTTTAAAGGTGACCCTCTTTTTGTGTTTTGAGTATTCATTTTTATTTTCTCTTTTGTAAAAATGCCTATTTTTTATTTTGTCATTCCTATTTGGTATGTAGGAATTCTACATATACTGTTCTTTTTTTTCTTTTTCAAAATCACTTAAAATATATACTTTCATCTTAGCAGGCGAATTTCGATGCTTGAAATAAAAAAAGGAAGAAAAAATAAAGAAATAAAATATTATGAGAAACAGAATAACATCAGAGAAAGGAAAACATAGGTGGTCAGAAGGTCATTAACTTAAGAAGATAAATCTTTGAATTTATGAGATGATGATTAATGCAGACAAACGAATGCATCAGTTACACAAAAGATTACCTACATCTATTTCTGTCATTATTTATCCTTCCCAGTTGTTTTCAGCACCAGTAAATTATTACATCACTTTAAACAAATCTTTGAGTGGCTAACAATTTAGAAATATAACTTGGGTTTTATTCCCACAGAGGGATGCCTCTCCTCCCATCACCCCTGGTCATTATTCATGCCATTCTAAATGCGGACATGTTAGAAGATATCGCAGAAAATAACAGTCTTCTGATTTTGAATCCAAAGTCATTATGTAACATGTCCTGTACAAAATCTTTTGAAGAACCCAAAATGAGTAAGGGAAAGGCCTTCCTTAGGAGATATTGAGTCATAGAGGGAGTGGTCAGCCCCACTTTATGGGCATATTATAGAGGTGGTGGGCAGCAAGGAATGGCTGCATGGCATGCTTAAGTGCATGAGGTCATGGAGACATTCGACTCTCCCTGGAATTCTTGTGTGGAACAGGGGATTTAAGTATAGCCAAATGATTCCTGTGGATACAGAAATGTCTGTGTCCCAAGTTTAGGTAGGTGGGAGCTGAAGGAACATCACACCTTCCCTTCCATTTCAGTTTATGTGAGAATGCATACTTGTCCTAGGGGCCATTTATGTTTCTGAAGTAGCAGAGAGAAAATGGATCTGAGCTGGTAATGATTAGGTATTGGCTTTATTCATGCTTTTCTTTCTGACAAGATGACAAAAACGCACTGCGGGCTAGCTGATCTTCTAGATAAAATCTGTAGATACTCCTGAGGGAAATATACAATACATATGAAACCTTTATCATGGACAAAATCTTTGCTAAATCCCGTGTTGAGTAGAGCAAGACTTGCCAGCTCCTCTAGTGAGTGATAAAGAAACTAGTCAGACAGACACCGTTTGCACAGTTGGTGGCTAGACACTCCAGAACAAACGGCTGCATGGCATGTTTAGGCTTAAGATCCTCCTGGCATTCCTGTGCTCCAGGGAGTTCAGGTATAAACTACACCTGTAGAAGGGATTGTGATTCATACTTTGGCAGGCAAGGCTTAGAAATTCTAACATAACCATTTCCAAGAAATATGAGTAAGAAAAGCATAGTAACCTGGAAATTTCCACTTAAGTCATTGAAGTGGCAGAGAGAATATGAATCTGAGGTTGCAACGACTGGGCAAGGGCTCCAGCCTTCGCCATTTGTGCCGAGATGACAAAAAGGTACAGGCTACTGATTCCATCCCTCAAATAAAACCTGTAAAAACTATCGAGGAAACTATGGTTTATTGAAACTAACAAACAACTGCAACAATAACAAAAAAAAAACAAAATTGAGATCCCTTGTACATAGGAAGCCTCTCTTCCAGGGTGTATATGTGGCAGGGGAGGTGTCTGCCTCTGAGTCGGAATGCAGCCTGAGGCTTGAGTGAGAAGCAATTACAGAAAGTATTGATTTAATTCTCTTGCTTTCCCTTTAAATTCCTGCCCTTTCACCTCAGATATGGGCTTCAGAGTCCTGAGTTCAGGGATCTTTCATGGGACAGGACAAGGTGATCTGGGACAGGGGTTGATGGCACAGCAGGAACTGACTTTGCCCCTTGTGCTCTGTTGCCTGGGGTAGAGAACCTACCATCTGAGCTTACGGTCTAGAAGGAAGAAAATCACTCCTTCATTCCAGTTGATTACGTGCTATAAGGAAAGTAAAGGCATCTGGGAAAGCACGTAAGGAAGACCTGCGAGAACACACAATGGGAGGGTCTAGTCTATTCTGAAAGGTGGGTACCAGTGAGGGCTTGCCACAGGGAGGGATATGGGCTGGCAGGTGTGCAGAGCTGGGTTAGGGAAGAGACTAGAGAAAGCGATCCCAGCAAAGGAAGTCATAACTATGTCAAAGCTCCTGATTTGGGAGAGAGCATGGATTGTTTAGAATAAAACCTGCAGTATGGTCATGAACAAAGAGACAGTGTGAAGGGAAACTGGAATAGAGATGATGAACACAATCTTGTATTCGTCTTTCCTCCTCTGGCTACAGCAAAACACATGCAGAACATGACATTATCGATTTGGAAATTTCTATAAATAAATTACTGACATTGGTATAACTATACTCCTAATCTAAAGCCACATATCATCATTAATGTTTCAAGTTTTAGAATTCAATGAGGCTGGATATGACTCCTGACTCTGACTCTAACTTTGAGAACTTGGAAAGATTTTTAAGCTCTGTGCACCTCAACCTTATTTTATATGAATTGGAGCAGAGAATATCATCCTCCTTAGTATTGTCAAGAATGAATTAGAGAAAGTACATAAGAAACAGATATTTTAGAACAAGTCCCTATTAAGTGCTCAAAAAGCAGAAATATAATATTGTCATTGCTGTTCCATGTTCTATGCTGGGGTTTGCTCTGGTGCAAACTTATTTCCTGTGCTGTGCTGACTCTGTTAAGGGGAACGCCCAGATGAAGCTGATATGAGAGACATCTTTTAAAATAAACTTTTCGATTCACTTCTGTGAAAGAAGTAGTTTAACCTTATTGACAAGAGGACCTGTAAAAGGAAAGGATGGGAGAGCTCATCAGATCTGGTAGTTCTGTCTCAGTGAGAATTTGCCAGAAGAAAAACTTTAGCTTGGCACATGAAATTTGAGGAAATTTGTGCCAATAATGAGATGAGGGGAGTGGATTCCCAACAAGGAAATAGCTTATGTGAAGATATGTAACACTGGAAGGAATTTGGAGGCTTGGAAATAAATTCAGAAGTATTATCTGTAAGCAAGGGGGAAAAGGGTGAAAGAAATTGGAATGCAGAGTGTTAATACACTCTATTCTTCATCTACACTTGTCTGACCTCTTCCCCTCCCCTTTCTTTACAGCTGCACCAACACGAGAGAATAACCCTCTCGAGGTCAGCAATCATTTCATGAATGCACACTTTTTAAATAGCAAAGGACTATGACCTGCTAAAATTTCAGTGTATGAATTTGATAAATGTATTAGTGATTTAATTTCATAAAGGGATGTACACAGCTAGGGCTGAGAGGAGAAGCTCTTTCAACATTCTGATGATTCCTGTAATTATAGTTGGGAGACATGTGGAATGGGACTGAGAAAATTGTACCTCAAGTAAGAAAGTGCTGAATGGGGCTGCTGGAGGCATCTGAGGAGTCTGGGGATGGCTCTGAGTCAGGGGTGCACCGGCCTCTGAATGTTTTGGAGCCTCGCTCTGTTCCTTGGAAGGTTTCGTGGTCTTCAAATCAGATTTTTTCTGGTTTGCTTTTGTCTTTACCTGAAATTATTCATTGTTCTGTTTAATTGTTTGCAATATTACATGAAACACAGCATCTTTTCATTTTTGAGAATATCATCCTTTATTAGGTTCTAATAGATGTTAGTTACCTCCAAACATAGCCTGTCTCTAATGTATTGCTGCAGGAAATAGCCAAAATATTTTTTGCTAACATGTAAAATGATAAGGCATTCTTCTGCATAAAATGTTTCAATATTTACTTACCGATTTTTTTTACAATGAAAATTCCATTTCTGTCTTTATGACAAAAGCCACCTCAGTAGAGTTTGCTTTTTATCTCTCTACCATCAATTTCCCACACCTTTCAACATATACCACAGTTGTACAGAACACATGCTTTCTTACAATTTTGATTTTTCGTATGTGATATTTTCTCTGCAAATGTCTGTCTTTACCTTGTTAAGAACAATAGTAAGTAGTGAATGTTGATTTCTCATAATGTACAAGGCACGGAGATAAGAAACATACATCCATAATCTCATGAATTATCAAAGCATCTGATGAGAAACATGTAAGCTACTTCCCCAATATCATGCAGCAAATCAGCCAGATGTAGATCAAGTCTATGCTACTCCAAATCCCTTGCGTTTTTTTTTATCACTGTGTGAAATTAGTACCCCCCCTCCTAATTTCTTCAAGTATTTTAGCATTTAGCACACGTTTCAAATCCTGTTGAAGCCTATAATGAATGCTATTCTCTTAAAATATTTTAATAAGTTTCTCTACTGAAATATGAGTACAAGGCATCATCTATTTTCTCATGTTTTCGGCTTGACTCTATGAGTTCAAAGGCACTTATACGGATTTTGCAAAACTGAGAGAAAATAATTTCCTCTTTGGAAAACTCATTCTCACCTGAATAAAACTATGTATTTCAGAAATCAGCTTTGATATCCCGTTATTTTTTCTCAGTCGAAAGCAGAATAGTTGAAGTTTATCTCCTTCTTCACAGGGAATATCGTGACATTTTCCTTTCCCCACTACTTCCATTTTTTCTTCATTATACTGAATTTCATAGATTGTGTTGTTCTTATTTACTGTTTTCTGGAACAGAAAATTAATATCCAATTCTTGAGAACACAGTCAATAACTATCATACATAAGAGAACATACCTTATGTATGATATAAGGTTAAAACAAGTTGCGGGACAGCAAGTGCTGGTACTATACAAATACACATGTGCCTTAGGCCAAGATTTCTCAGTGAGTTCTTCCTTATTGTCATATTCTAGGTATTTCTCTGACAGCTCTAGAACAGTGGGTTATTTTCCAAATTTCTACTGCTTTCACCTCCAGGACAGCTATGATTCCCAAAGCACCTTTATCCAGAGGAATCTGAAATCCTCGGGAGGCTTTTTTGACCACTTCCCCTATGCAAAAAGGATGGCCATCTGCTACATCTATGTATTCAGTAGCTTGTGAGAGATCTGTAATAAAATGGAAGGTTCTAGTAACTCCCTAATTACCTTTTCTACCTTCTCCATTTACTGAATCTTCTCCCCCTCCTGAGCTCAGGTCGTTGAGCTCAAACTTTCCACTTTCTTGTTCACCAAGGCTGTAACTCTTCAAATCTAGAATTGGGTTCGTAACAATAATCACTTTAAGAGTGTGGACAGAAAATAATGCATGGGATATATGGGTTTTTGCTAGAAAACAATTAAATATATTGTGTTGTGAGCTGTTGATCATATGAGAAATTACTTGAATCAATATCAGGTTACAGATTCTTTTTTTTTGGTCTGAATGTCTTATGGTAAACCACTCTGTGCTTTTTGTTTAATTGACATATCTAAATGGCAAGTTTAGATCACCTGAATTTCTAAGTATCACCTAAATTCAGACTTCTCAATTGTTCAATATCTTTTTGATGAATGAGTCTCATTTGGTTAGAACATCATCCTAACTTGTTGACTGCCTTTGTTTTCTAGGCATAATCAGGCGATTCATTACTTGCTCTGACTGTAAAAAACAGAACTCAAGTCTCAAAGGGCAATACTTCATCCAAAATGAAAATAGAATGATTATTGCTACAGCTGAGGTAATAATAAAAAATATATTTAGGCTGGGCTCAGTGGCTCATGCCTATAATCCTTGCACTCTGGGAGGCCAAGGCAGGAGAATCGCTTGAGCTCAGGAGTTGGAGATCAGCCTGAGCGAGAGCTGTTTCTCCTAAAAACAGAAAAAATGAGCTGGGCATTACGGCACTTGCCTGTAGTCCCAGTTACTGGGGAGGCTCAGGAGGATCGCTTGAGCCCATGAGTTTGAGGTTGTTGTGAGCTAGGCTGGGCAACAGAGCAAGACTTTGTTTAAAAACAAACAGAAAAACAAACAAACAAATAAATTTAGTAGAATATGTAGATAGATCTAGATCCCACGCCATCCTTAATCATTGTAGCTTAAAATAATACATAGTTCATTGCCTATGAAATCTCAAGGATTCTCAGTGAACATTTTCCTAAAAAGTGCAGGTAACATTTTGGGAAGGAAAACGTAGGAAGGAAAATATTAATAGTTTCCCTAATTCCCAGTCTTATCCTGAGAAAAGACTTTATCCACTTATCATCAGTGTTGAGAGAATCCTGGCTTCTAAAGTTCAGTGAATAGGCAAAACTGCATTTAGCACCACAAAAGGCTTTTAATTTCGGGTATTGGTGGAGCCATGAAACAAAAGAATTTTGAAGACTTACCTTACATAGTGTATATAATCCATATACAATAGTTCCAGAAGCTTGTCTTTGAAGAATATGAATCGGCAGGGTTTTCTTTGCTGTGTTTATGATGTTGTTTGGAACCTCAATCTTTTGGTCAGGACCAGCTTCAGATACAGAGGAGGCTTCATTCACCTCCAGGAGATGGTCATATTCAAAATAATCTGATATGGTAATGATTCTCTTTCTGGTGAATATTTTCTTCAAGTTGATGTTTAAAACCTTCATATGAAAGAACTGTTTCTCCGTAGCCACTGTAGCATGAAACATTTTTTTGGTCTCCTTTTCTGAGGACTCATATGCAAACGGATCTGCTGCATTCAGTACCATCACCACCATCGGGCCCTTTTGGAGATTAGGTTTTCTAGGGGTGACCTGAGACTTGGCCGGTGGTTTTGGGTTCTGTGTGCACAGGAAAACAAAGGAAAATTTTTGAGTGGGGAACACAGAACCACTACTCAGTGACCTCAGTCATAACCTGGAGCCCAACAACATTTACAGGTGTTTAGAGCTGTGGCCAGGATGGAGGGTCGCTGAACAGGGAAGAGAGGATGTGCTGAACTGTTATCATAGCCAGAGGATGTCATGGAGCAGATTGCATGTGTGAAAAGCAGGGAAGCTTTTTGTGAAACAATAATCCTTAAGAAGTAAAGCATAAGAGGAACATCAGAGCAGTGGATTCTGAGAGCATTACCATGAAGTACTTTTAAAGAAAGTTAAGGACAAAATAATAAATTGTAGTCTAACTCTTACCAGCTTAGAGCATGAGAGCACAACTATAAACAAATAAAATTAAATAGCACTGAAAATGGAAAACGGTGTCCACTGCAAACCACAGACATGAAGAGTTTTCAGTTATCACCAGTGTAGACAGGGCAATTTTGAGAGTGTAAGTCATATTCCTCTATCTAACATTCAGTCCTGTTACAGCAGGTGGGGACACGCATGGCCTAAAGCCTTCCTAATACCCTAACGTCAGTAGGTTCAGGGTAGTGACACTCTGGAGACTGCGACTTCCACCAGCGCAACATTTCTCTCAATGTTGGGTTCTAGGAGGAGCTCGCTGTCAGAAACCTGGGATCAGGGTGATTTGTCTTTAATATCCTTTCTCTGTAACATCCTGATCTCCTAAATTTGCAGCAGAACACTTTAAATGAAGAGGTGGTTTAGTCAACAAGAAGAACTGTGGGGGCCATGGGTGGGGCTCATCCACAATCCAGCAGGCTGTGGGATGCTCTGGCCTGGGACACCATACACAGTGATCACCTGTGGTGATTGGACTTTACTGGATGTGACTTCTCATGAACATGACCAGTTCAGCCTAATGCATGAAAGTCCTTTCCCCAATGCAAGTTAATCAATAACAGTAGACTCATACATGAGAATATTAATAACTACACTAATATGCAACCTTATAAGGAGTCATTTGAATACAAGGCATACATGAGAATACTAATAGTAACAGAAATATACAAACTTATAAGGAGTCACATGAATAGAGGACATACATGAAGGGAATTGTACAGCTACTCAGAGAGAAATAATGAGACAATATATTGTATGATACTATTTTCAGCATAATTGTGAATGTACTTCCATAGGAGAAAATAAGAGGGTATAGAAAAAAAATGTAGCATAATATGGATGGTCTAATTTCTGGTAATTTAAATTTAAATATTTTCTATTTGATTTTGTGGTTGTCTTCATTTTGCAATTCTTTTCTGAAATAATCTTGTGTTAAAATAAAAATCTATTGTAAGAAAAAGAAATAGAGCCTGTTTCAATTGTGGCTGATGTTTTTCGTTCATCACTTGTGGCCCATTGTAGACTATCCATTTGATTGTGTGTCATAGAAATATAAGTCACTCATTTTTGGAATAAAGCTCAATGGAATTTCAATTAGTTATTAGACTGTCCCTGATGTATGCATACAGGAAAGGCTGGCCTATCCAAACGTGAGAAGGGGATAACTTCAGAAGTATTATCAGAAATGTGTAATTATAAAGTGTAGTTCACTTCCTTTCATTTGTACATCTTGGTATGTGGTGTTCTTTCAGCTTTAGATTTTCCTAAACTCCTCAACTCCACCTGCCTGTTTTATCACTTCTTTTTGTTTTTACAACCCTTGGGCCTCACAATAGATACCATGTCTCTTTGGGTCAGATGATCCTTATTTGTTCTTTCATTAGCTGTTCTGATTCATATCTTAGGACTTAGTTTTCACTTTTTCATTGAGTAATGTATTTACTGAGAGCTTCCTATGAGGGAGACACTGATCTAGGCTTTGGGATACACTGGTCCACAGACCGACAAAGTAGCCCTAATCTTGGAACTCAGAGTAAGTGGGAAATATAAACATTTCTTAATTTCAGTTGTCAGAAATAGTAGAAAAGAAAGAAGGAAGTTTCTACCACAGAGAGCATCATGACGGTTTCACCAAGGTCACTGTGGTCTAAGTGAGCATTTCCTGAGAACAAGAGATCAGTGTTTGGGATCTAGAGGGTGAGTAGAGTTGGCCAGGTAAGAGTCTTCCAGGTGAAAGTAACATGGCATGTGAAAATCCTGAAGTAGAAAGGAGCATGGTGTTGGTCAAAAAAACTTGAACAAATTGGTGAGCGAGGGAAGAGCTGTGGAAGGGATGGGAGCAGTGGACAGTGACCTAACTGTTGTACCCCTCTGTACTGTTACGGACCCTACACCATAGGGGACAACTCAGCATAGAAAACTTTCTGCACCGAGACATAATGTCAGGTTCATCAATATCCCTTTGGAAGCAAAAGCTTAAAACGTAGTGAATTCTCAATACATACATTTGATTAACTTGTTAATTATTGATGCCATTTTAAAGTAGAAGCTGAAATCAGATTTTTGCGCTTTTAGTAGAAGAAATTGAAGCAAAGGGGACCAGGAAGAGCATACCTCAGCTAGGGAAGCGTTGAATGGAGCCGATGAGGTCTGGGGTGGTGGGGGTTGGCACATGGCTGTGGACGTGTCGGCTCCTGCAGGACAGGGAGGCTGAGTCTGCTTCTCCGACACCTTACTCCTTTTGGTCCCATCCTTTTCTTTGGCTGTGTTTTTTCTTTTCTGAAAGTAGTTTGATTTTCCTGTTATTCAATTTCTGTGTCAAACGAAGTAGGGCACTTTTTCATTCTGGGAAGCAGGCTTATTATACCTATCGATGTGTTTCATGGCAACTTGACGGGGTTCTGTCCCTCCCGGCCAGTTGTAAGAGGTGGACATATATGGTTTCTTTAAACAAAGGAAGCAGAGACAGATATACAAATCATTTCATTTCTCTAATTACCTCTGTTCATGAATGTGCCGACTTGGAAGTAGAAAAACTAGGGTTTTATAAAATCGGGTAAAGCATTTACCTATCTGATTCTCAAGTTAACACTCCTCTACTGGAGACGAAGATACATTTAGGATATATATATATATGTATATATTTATATATTTTTTTATATTTACATTTACATTATGTTTACTAAAGTTTTGGCATGCTATCTTGCACAAAGAAGATTATCAATTATTGGGCGTTTTGCTGAATCTTAAACTTGATGGGAAACTCATGAAGCCATCGCTGTTTGATGGAGAGCTTGAGTGGAAGTGCTTAGCAGAGTTTCCTCCGTGGGACTTGAAACCTGTTCCCCTTCCTCAATCTTACCTGAGGTCCAGGAGTCACCTTTGCTCCTTCATGTGTGAAAACTTTGCTTGTGGAAGGGGCAGGTGTAGAAGGACTGTCTTCTTTCTGCTTGCTCTTTTTTGAGGGGGTTGTTCCTTTTTCTGGTGTGGATTTAACTTTTTTTGCAACTATTGCAGAAAGAAAAGGACATGTAAATCCAGAGCTGATGGTCTCAGAGAGCTGAAGCAGTTTCTATACTAATCCCTCCCAGCTCCTGCTGGAGGCTCAGGTTTACTCCACTGCATTAGCCACCCTGGCCTAAAGGTGACCAGCAGTCACAGCACAGGTACAAGCACTGTCTCATGCTCCCCAGCGCTTCCTGTGCACCACCCACCCCCACATCTCGTGCACTGAGCACATCATCCTTCTTGTCCTCTGAACTCTATTTGATTAGTCAAGACCTTTCCCCATCCTATTCTCCTATCATTTCCTTTTAAAAATTCAAGGTGCTCATGATGCTGACCACTTGGTTGTGTTCTGCAGATAATCTATTCAAATTACAGAAACCAGTGAATGGAAATGTGGTACAGGTTTGTGAGGGGAGATATGGTGATTTTAGACTTTGACTTTTTAAAATATGTATATATATGTATACATATATATATTACTTTTTTAAATTCAGTGACTTTACAACAGGAAAGTTTTTGATATTTCTTAGAGGTAGAGTTACATTTAAGTACTACCTCTTTTTTATTATAAGGGGTGATGATGGGTTAAATAGTCTCAATGAAGCAGATATGTTTTTGGTTAAATGTACATATTTCCAATATACACTGCAAATTTTAAAATTTTATTTTGTCATTACCTGGTCTTTCTAATGTATGGAAGTCTCAGTCTCTCATCAACTCCCTCTCACTTTTGATTTTTCAAAATACACCCTCCAAAATACAACAATCTACACTAGAATTGGAATGCTCTAAGTTGTTAACTTGTTGGCATGTGAGGCACCAACACTGCCAAGGCTACAATCACAAATTGTGATAGGGATGTATCCACTGTGTCCAAGGTGAGGTTCTAGTCCAGGCTGAGAAGGGTTGGGGAGAGTGGCAGGGAGGTGGTGTTCCCTGTTTCCTGTTACCTTTTGACTTTTCCTCTTTAAGAGTTTTAACAAGTCCTTGGAATGCTGGTATATCTTTGCAGAGGTGTATAAGTTTGTCCACACCGGCATCACGTGGGAACTTTTTTACCATCAAGTTAGCAATCTTAACTTCGTCATACTCTTCTTGCATTTTTTCATTCAGCTTTAAAGTATCGGACAGTAAGAACTTAATCCTTTTAAACTGTTCAACGTTGATTTCATCTAATACTTTAAGTAGAATAATCTTCCCGCGTTGATTTCTCATCTCTAAAGACATGGGTGAGCATACAAGAGAAAAATGGCATATAATGTTACACATGTATACAGACAATTTAAATGACTGCTTATGCCTCCCTGAGTGAGGAGCCCATATGAAACTGTTTTCCATGGATGTGTGTGACAAAAAGGGATTTAATGACCAGATACGTCACTGTGGACATTGGGTCGTGAGCTGCCACATTAGGGATGTGCATGAAATTCATCCTGTTTAATGAGTGAGGATGGTTGAGTTGAGTCGAGGTGTGTGTAGTGGAAGGAGGTCTTGAAACACGGAATTGCTAGACTTAAGTGTATGGGCTGTGCAGTGCCAGAGTTTCTGGTTCCTCATTCCATCCTTCGTTGGAGCTGGAGCCCATCACCCAGTGTCTGCCTGTTGGTTACTGACTCTTCCCACTCCCACTGTGACTAAACTGGTTTCTGTTTAAATGGTCTGCAGCCTCCTACTTTATAAGAATATCCTTCTGAGTTCTAAGCTGGGGTCTTAATCTGAGTCCCCTTGTCTCTTGGACAGTCAGCTCTCATTAGCACCCTGTCTCCCTTGGTCTGGGACTGTCTTCTGTGCCTTCCATGCCCTTAATACCACCACTTTGCTGAACATCTTCATGCTTCCTCATATAGGGACACAGCACTTACTGGCTGGAATTATTTCATTAGCTGTTTAATATTTTTTTAGGCTTGATTTATCTAATTTGTTCTTTTCACAGAGCCAGTTGTCTCTCTATAAGCCACGTTTTTATCCCACTGAAATCCTTCCGTATTTCCCCATGTTCATTTCAAAATTTTTTTTACTCCTAAAATGTCTCAGAAGACCTTGAATGTCTGCATCTTTTTTACTTCTGGTACTTTTGTATTTCTTATATCCTACGCTTTGTAAATGTACAACGCACTTTGCATTTTCATGCTTCGTGATGTGGCTAATTCCTTTCTCACTGTCTGGAAAGCCATTCTTACATTCCTTTCTCTGACCACCTCCCGTACAACCTTTCAGTCTCACCGGAGGCTTTGTCTTCTGCAAGCTTCACCCAGAGTCCTAACATAGACCAGGTCCCACATGGACTCATTGGACGTACTTAGCACTTTGTGCACTTCCTTGACAAAACTCAGTGCATGGTATGGATTCCAATTTCCTTTTTAAAATCACAAATATTTTTAGTTTAAGAGTCATGTCTTTGTGTACCTTTTGTATAATTGGGGTATTTTATTAATAATTCTTGGCATTGTTATTTGCTTCCTCTTGAGAGAACATGAGCATCCTCAGATTGAAAAGGCTCATAGAATGAAGAGAGAATCCATACAAAGACATATTATAGTGAAACTGAAGAATGTTAGATACAAAATGACTACTCTAGAAGCCTCCAGAAATGGAGAATAGATCACCCACAAAGATTCAAGAATCGGATTGAAACTGATTCTTCCTAATAAAACTGCCAACAGCAGGACAATGGAGTAATTTTTATATAATGCTGATTCAAAATCCCTTGTCTATTGCAAAACCACCAAAATTTAAAAATGGTAAGTTTTGATTTTTTTGTCACTATGAGAACACAAATTATTTGCAAATTAGAAAATGTGATGTGGCAGAAGGCTATATATAATATTTATTTCTTTCACTTAAATATCAAAGTTCATATGTTTTGTTGTGAAATATTAGTGCTTTTGATTTTAGAAAAATAAATCAAATACCAGTGGAGTTTCCAGTAATACAGTATTTAGAATATAAGCATTAAATAGCTTTTCTGAATGCTCCAAATTCTGAATTTCAAAAAATGTCTAATCCCACAGGTATAGAAAAGGTGTTATCCACTTGTTTTAAGGAAAAAGTAATTTCGAAACTAGAATTTTAATCTACACAAAATGACATTCAAACATCTTCTCTGATACTGAAGGCCCAGGTATTTTTGCAAGAGAAAGACTAACATGAACACATATATTGGAAGTAATATTCAGCAAGAAAACAATAAATAAAATTAATAAATAATGCAGACCAAAAGATAAGTAAGTGGGAAAAACAAACTTGATTATGTATGCCTATGTCTTAAAAAGAAAAGCCCGATCAGAGAGAAGAGAAACAGAAAGTATGCTAACATGGTGGAAGGAGGAAGGAAAAAGAATATGACAATTTACTAATGAATTTGTCTTAGAGGGTGAGATAGAGGTATAAATTAAAAAAAGCAAGACAAGCAGGAGACTATAGAAGTGCCATAAATTGAATATAGCAGATAGATAATATCAGTACCTACTTAAAAGACCTAACCAGGTACATGAAAACTTTCATCAAATTTGATTTAAGAAATCCACATATATGTTGTTAGCAAACAAGTACTTAAAGGTGAAGAAATTTTTAAAAAATCTTGCAAAGAGTAACTGAACGAAAGCCAGTTTATCTATGTTAGTATAACACTAAATAGATTTTGAGAAAAAAAGTAATTTGAGATACCAAATAATGATAAAAGGTTCAATTCATAGGAAAATACATGTTTTAATTATGAATTTATCTAATAATGATAAATATATGTTATTTGTTATTATCTTATAGTCCTTCATGTCCTATAATTAGTATTAGTCCTATAATTAGTATTATATATTTCTCTCCATATCACACAGACATGCACACACACCCCTACACACATGTATATTTATATATGTGTGTACATGTTTGTATACATGTACACATGATTCAAATACATATAATATTCATTATATATATGTATGTGTGAGTATATCTATTATATACTATATATGAATTTGAGAGAATGACAAAGTAACACCATTTTATGATAGGACAACAGTACGTATATCTCTCAATTACTAAATGAACAAGAAAAAGATGGTAAAGATATAAAAAATTGAGCAGCATGATTAATAAATTAACAAGATTTATCTAACATTTATACAATTCGGAAATCAACGTTTAAAATATCACATTCTATTCAAGCACACATATAACAAATATTGTACAAAGGTATATAAAGTCTTTTAAAAATTCCAAAAGTTTGCAGTTGAGATTTTTCTTGGTTGAACCCCCTACCTTGCCAAAAGACAAAAAAAGTAACTAACTTTCAAGAAGGCATAAACTAATAAGAAATGACAGAAATATTGTCTTGAACACTTGTGGTAGAAGGGAGCTAAAGTAAATTAAACATACTTATGAAAATATTAACATACCATTTATTGGACTATCTGTGCTTGGGAAACAGAAATTTTCTACTCTGAGTGTTCATTGGTTCTCATGTTTTGTAAAATTGGAATAATACCATAAGATACAGCTTTATGTTCAGATGTGATTTTTACTTAATATTATTTCATGATATTGTTCACACCACTATCTTGCCTTTTACCCAGGCCCCACCACAGCCACTGAGTTCCTGAGCACCCTCCAGCAAAGACAACCAAAGCCTTTTTCCAAATTACAACTTATGTTAATAGACACTCAGAAAATTAACTTTAAAATCTGCAATAGTCAAAATGCATTTCCACTTTTTCAGCCCTCAGTTGTGATGGAATTGAAAAATATCTACTATCTTTCTAAGTAAATGAAGGATTAGAATCAAGCAACTGCAGTTTTCATTTTCCTGAGTACAGCTGACATCGGCCCTACTCCCCTCCCCCCATAGCTGGAAGAACCAATCCTGATATTCTCCTTGTGATCTAGTGGATTTCAAGGAAGAACCCAGATCTTCTCTACAAGAAATACCCACAGAACTCACCTCACTGGAAATTTCAACAGTAATCTAGATTTTGAAGTCTTCAGAAATGCAGGAATCAATGCTTGTTTTGAATAGAGAGCTAAATCAGTAAAGCTCTCAGAAACTGAGCTGCAGGATGTTACAATCTCCTGAAATGCTAAGAAAATGAAGTATTTCTAAAGACAACAAGGGAAAAAAAGGCCCTGGTTAGAGTCACTTGATAACTTGACTAGTGCTGGCTGTCTCATATTGTGCAATGGCTCCAGGCAGAGAGGAGTTGTGAAACAGTGTTGAGACTCCTCCCCTCAATGTTTTTAGCTTTCGATTCTGATTTTTTTCGTCAGGGAAAATGACCAGCTTCCTTCCTGTAATAAATTATCTTTACCAAAATAAAAAGAGGGAGAGCAAAGAGGGGAGTGCATGATTAGAAATGACTTAATGGGTACAATATACATTATTTGGGTGATAGGTACAATAAAAGCCCTGAATTCACCACTATGCAACCTATCCATGTGAAAAAAATACACGTATCATTCATTAATTTGTATAAAAAATAATTTTTTTTACAAATGTCAATAGCTGAAAGAATTTCCTACATTAGAACTTTCTTATAGAGCAGTCTCACACGTGGGTCATTAGAGACTTATATTCCCTTGAATGAGGCTCAAACGTAAGAGAAACAAAACGAGCCACCCAGCCAGGTCTCCCTCCTTTCCTTCACAGTGAATGGAGAGGCCGGAGGAGATCTCGGTAGAAGCATCTACTGCTACCGGTACTTGACTGCATCTCCTGGATGGGGGAATGTCTGCTATGAAATCACTATTGATTTAAATACTACCTGAAACATTCACCCAGTTATTAGTTGACAAACCCGGGACTTGCCAGATCAGAAAATCATTATGAGCATGTAAATCCTTCCTCCAATATATGTAAGGGAGTTTGATACTAACTGTCCCCTTGCCTATGACTAGGCAACTTTACCTCAATGATTAAATTCCTGATCGCTCTTGCTTTCTGCATTACTAATGGATAAAAATATGTGGATAGTAGGCTCATATCATGAAAACATTGAAGCTTGGAAATTTCTGGAAGTGTACTGATTTTCTAGCAGGGTAAGGAGCCTGATAAACACTTCGATTAGCAGTGTTTTTTTTCTTGTAAGGATACTGAGCGCCCTTCAGCGTACTGCAACTCCCAGATGTCAAATAAATGGCACCAGCCAGCAGATAGTGTTGTGTTAACCCACCATCTGAAATGCAAACAGGATGTGGCCATGACTGAACAAAGGGGCCCAAAGACATCTGCAGGTGAG